GTGAGACCAGACATAGGCTGGATGTCCTGACACTGCATTGCCTCCATCTCTGCCCACTGCTGGGCACAGCTGCTTCTGTTTGGACCCACTACAGCACGCCCACCGCCACCGGGACCTGGGCTCCCGAGGGACTCACTGGGCTGGAAGAACTGGAGATGCAGCCCCTTTTACCCACGATTATCCAGGCCTGGAAAAATGAACCTAATGTCATAGAGAGACGAGCAAGAGCTTAATTAACAAGTTGCCCCAATAAGATCGGAACAGCAGTCACCAACTGAGGACAGGGAGCTCGTCATGGGGCAGGGAATCATCTGCACCAGGTGGGGGGACTGACCTTGTGCAAGCAGCGGTGGCTGACTGGTCTCCCCTGGAGCGGTGCAGGAGGCTGACGAAACCCCCCAAGGCAGGGAGGCAGTAGCTGCTCACCCGATAAGTGAGCAAACATTGCACGCTCCGCAGCAGGCCCATGCTCCCTTTGAAGATGCTGCCAGGGTCAAGGGTAGCCGAGGGCTCGTGACCAGAGGGCTTTTGGAGGCAGAGCAGATTACCTGGCCTGCATAGAAGGGCAATTTAGGAAAGCAAATTAATAAATAAAAATGTGGAGAGGCACACGCAAAGGTTAAAAAAAAAAAAAAGCCCATGCAGCTTGGCTGCAATATGCGCCCATGACGCATTTAGGGGAAGAGGGGCCTTGGACTGCAGCAGCCAGGAAAGCCTTGTGCAAACCCCCCCAGTTGCTTGCAGTTCCCTCTCCACCCCTTTCCCAACCACCTTCCACCTTGGTGCCGGTCGCCATGCCCGATGCCCACCTTGCCACCCCTCGCGGGAAACCGTGGCATTGCTTTGTCCCCCAGCAGCCCCCTTCCCCGGCTCTCCCCAGGGCGGGCTCTTTGCAGAAGGGGCATCGCCACTGCCAGCTGCAGGCTGGTCTGGCAGCAACCCCAGCAGGCAGCACCTACCTCTCGCTGGCTCTGCCCTGCACGCGTGCAGACCTTGTGCAGAGGCCGAGCGTCTTCAGCGAGCAGGGGCCGCCACCGCCGAGAAGCACGTGCTCGCCTTCAAAAGCGACCAGGGGAAGCTGGAAGATGAGAACGTCAGGGGCAGGCGGGATTTGAGACCTAGGAATTGCTTGGCTCAGTCTGCTCTGTACAAGGGTGGAGAATATCCCAGGGAGTGCTCAGCACATGCCTTTCCCTGCAGTTGGAAATTGGTCACAGTGTGCATTGGCAGGGTTGTTTTTGCGGTGGTTTTTTTTTTGTCTTTTTTTATTAGCACTGTACATGCTGCTAAATGCACTCCCAGCTAGGTCAGGGCCGTGTTAGCTGTGGCTGGCAGATTAATTTCAGCCTAAATACACTTCACAGCTCCATAAGTGAGAGTGCAGAAATCTTCAAAGCACTGTCCAAGTGGATTAAATGGTAGGATCCAGGCCCAACATTGTAAATTATAAAAGGTAACTGCAAAGTGCTGTTGTCCGTGTCCCTTCCTTATGGCTGAATTAGGTCCCCGTCCTGCCACAACACATGCTTAACCTGGACTGGTGAAGTCAACAGACCCAGACGCTCATATAAGGTTACACGAGCTATTTTGTTTTAACTGGAGAAGAGGCAAGCAAAGGCAGAGCTTGCTGCAGTGCCTGTCAGGTGTAACGGGTCAGAGCCCAACCTTCACGGTCAGTCCCAAGCAAGGAAACTATAGACAGATGGCAATAGGCTCCACAATACTTCTAATTAGTGTAAGGAAATCCCAGAGAGGTCCTCGCTGAGCAAACGAATCTTACACATCCAGGAGACTGAGCATGAAAGTCACATACAAAAAAGTAATCCTAATATGTTCAAGAAAGAAATTAATATTTTAATCTGAACTGCCTCAGGTAATTCCAGTTTTAAAGTGCTATGGGCCCAAACGGATCACACCCATTGCTGACAGTCTTCGAGGTGTCCTAAACTATTTATATGAGAACAGGCTGGGGCTGTATGGGGGGCGGGAAAAACCTCAATCTTACCCCAAAATCTCACTCTGTGCATATAATGCTTATGCTAGAGGGAGAGCAGGTTTGTGCAGCAAGGTGTTTGCACCGCTCCCTCGTGCTGGAGTTTCCCATCTTGTAGTGGCTGTAGACCATCACCTGAGACCAAAAGCAACACTGAGGTGTTTGGGGTTGCCATGAGTCAGCAGGTACCAACCACAGCTGGGAGGAAAAAAACCCCCACCCTCCCCACGGCACCAAAAGGGGCAGGTTGGGCTGCCTGGGGAGGCTGTGAGCAGCCTGCGACCGCAGGCGGCGAGGCTGATCCTGCAGTTGGGCAGCCTTGGACTTCGCTGCCACAGCGAGCCGTGCCAGTTTATGTTGGGCAAGGATAAGAAACCCAGCCCCTTCTCCTCTGCCACCCTGGAAGCGTGAAGCTCTGCCAGTGACAGAGGCAGCCTCAGGTCTACCCAGGGTGGGCTGCTCCCCATGCGAGGGGACGGAAGACGGGGGTATTTTGGGGTTTGACAGAGGGGGAGCGAAGCCCTTCTGACGTGTTTGGTGTTGCAACCCTGCCCTTATCTTTGTACAAAGAGTTCGGCCACTCTGTGCTCCTCTCTGAGCCCCCTTCTAAATCTGGGCTGTGCTCATGTGTCCACCTATTTTTTTAAGCCTCTTTTTTTTTTTAAGATTTGTGGTTTTTTCTTAATAGCCACACAGCTCACATGAGCAAGACAAACAGGGCAGATGTGCCCACTCACATGCACACACCGAGCAAACCCCGGGAAGCTGCCGCTGGGCTGAGCAGAGCTCCATCCTGCCAGACCTCTTGGGGTCTCCTCTTGGGTAGAGACTCCGTGGAAATAGCCCTGTGCACTCCCACAGTAGCCGTGTTGGCCTATTCCTGCTCACAACCTTGGTCCTTTCCCAGAGGAAACCAGCACAGTCCCACTGAGGTCAGCCCAGAGCTAGATGGGCACCAGCAGAGCTACATCAGCCTCTGAGGAGCTCACTGGGCATCTGCTCAGTTGCCAACTAAAAAATGTATTTTCTTTACAGTCACAGCCTTTCTCTGAGGACTTTTGAGTCTTTCATGTGTGAGATGGCCACCACAGCAGCTCATCCCTAACCCCTCCTTCTCATCTCTTGGGCTTAGCAGCACAAATCTTTATGAATTTGTGATTGGAGCTACTCCTCCCCAGGGTGTCCCATAACTCCTTCCAGCAGCTCTGCCTGGCACCACTGGAACAAGCAGATATTTTGTGGCTCATGGCTGCCCTTTCCCCATGTCAGTTTGGGTTTTAGCATAGTGACCAGCTGATGTGCCCGGGCTGTGACCCAAGGCAGATGAGTGTGCCTCCCCAAGGGAGGGTGCTCAGCCCCATCCCCGCAGCCATCCCCGCAGAGAAGCCAACACAGGGCAAGCACTGCCATGCCGTCCTGCAGCAGGGTACAAGCCAGCCCTCGCCCCTGCCTCCCAAAAGCAAAGCATCACCCAAAAGGACAACATCCCTTTGTTGTCACCGTGAGGATGCGTATCCCAGGTGCACCGTGAGGATGTGGACACCACCCACCACTGTTAAACCCGTTTGAACTAATGCAGCATGGCCAGTGCCTTCCAGCGTGGCAGGACGTGACCTGCCCAGGGCACACGTGTGTGCACGGACAGTTCAGGTGTGATCTCTTACATGCTTTCACGAGTCTCTGTCATGTCCCTCCTGGTATAGCAGCAGTTACCCCCCTTGCACAGGGCAGCACAGCGATGTACAAAGAAGTGAGCTCACTTGCTCAGGGTGACGGAGCAAGCCGGTGCCAGTAGCCCAGGACTGTCACCTGGGATCCCCAGCACCAGCCCCACAATTAATTACGAGCCGTCCCTCTACTAATTGCTGCCGTGGAGTCACAATCCCGTTGCTGCGATGCAGAGCCCTGTTGCTGCTGGGGACAGCTTCACATTCCTGGTTTGAGAGCGCCACCTCGTGAGGTGGCCCCGCTCCTGGGGAGCCTGCGGGG